TTTCATGTCATTAGCACCTCTAGTAATATATTTACTGAGAAAAATGGTGACGTGTTCAATACTTATTTTACCCGCTGTCTGTCCCCTCGCGCTCTGCGCAGGTTGAGATTTAATGTAAATAAAGTCGCGTACCGGACACGTAGCTCACCTGAGCGTGCGCCTATAAATAGCTCGCAGGTGGTTACGTTCGGTCTCTTTGATCTTCTCACGGTTTACCTGGCGTGCTTCGCAGGTTAAYCGCTCCMGTAAGACCGTGTTTCGGATCTTATCTGCTTCTGCAGGTCTTGAGAGGTAAGCACAGGATTGTGTGATTTAGCATCATCCAGCCTGTGACTTTTAGTGTGAGTGCTTTTAGCCCTGTAAGGCTGTGGTTGGCGTGTCTTTTGTTTGTTTGTTTGTTTGTAGTAGGAAGCGTGGTGGGTGTGTCCACGTTTGGACGACTCTGCTTTCAGCTTCGAAGGTGCGGGCTGGCGTTTCCTTCACCCTGTCTCCAGKTGGGGAGGAACGTGCAGCTGGCGAGTGGCCCAGGGTTCTGATTTGGACACCTGGACCCTGAATGCGTTCTTCAGTTTCATTGAAGCTCTCGCTCAGTTTGTCTGATTGGCGCACACGCACGTGTGTTAGGAGTGTTAGGAAGAGTTGCGCCCCTCAGTTTTACTGAGGTTCTCACTCAGTTTACCTGACCAGAGGTGCAGTAAAAAAAAWTTTTTTTAAAGATTCTGATCGCGTTCTTCAGTTTTATTGAAGTTCTCGCTCATTTGGTCTGTGCGCGCCTGCAGTTCCCACTTCTGTGCTGGAATGCCGGGGTGCAATTCATGTGGGGCTCCCCTCCAGGTGGAGGACGGCCATGACCTAAATGCCTGGGTGTGGGCCATCTCAGAGAGGCTCTGACTGACCCCTGCATTAACTGCAGTATTTTGCCTTTCTCTGTAAAGGAGGACAGGCTGCGTCAGGTTGAGGGCCTCTTATTTTCTGACGAACTGCTGCCCTCAGGAATGCCTCTATCGTGTTCCGGGAGGCGCTGATGGAAGAGCGCTGCGGTCCTAGAAGGAGAAACCGTGACTAGAGCATCCATCTCAGCAAGAAGTAGATTCTCTGAAGGCTGAGGTGGACCAGCCCAACGCTCTGTTGGCAGCTCCAGTCCCCGTACCTGGGGTCTCGTATATAAACGGTGCGTACGCATAAAAAGTTACGTGCGCCAGGTTCTACGCCTATGTTGTGATGTATGAAAACTAACGTTGCGTGAAAGTGTGGGTATATTTACAGTGGTTTGCAAAAGTATTCATACCCCTTGAACTTTTCCATATTTTGTCACATTACAACCACAAACATAAATATATTTCACTGGAA